TGACGTTTACATATACCATTCATTATGTATGAGTATGACTGAGCACTGTGACAAATTTCAAGTAAAAAATAAGTACAAAAATCTTCTGAAGGAAAGAACAAATATACATAAACTAGAATCTATAGCAAAATTTAAAGTGGAACCTAGCCAACGAAGTTATATAATAATGTTACAAATTTAAACCATTTGAGGTTTGGAATGGAAAATTCCAAAGTCCAAGCTGAAGGCATCTTAAGATTTCCTTACGAGCAAAGAGATGATAGCTGAAAATGTTTGCAACAGTTCATAGAATTCCATCTGGGTTGTGCAAAAAGCATGAAACACCTAAAGGGTAAGTTGAAGTTTAGTCATGTTCCTGTTGTGCATATTATGATGACGGACCAATTCATCAGAACGAGCAAATTTCTTTTGACAGCTGGGCCACCGACAGCTGAAAGGTTTTTCACCTGTTAACAAAATGTACAGTTATAAATTATCATCATAATCCTAATATATACTATTGCCTTATCCCCTCCTAGAACTCTGATTAAACTGCAATTGCACTTAGACTTATATAATGCTTTACAGCACTCTCTAAATGGTTTACAAATATCAGCATATTGTCCCCAGTAATCTGGGCCCTCATTTTGCAAAGTTAGAAAGTTAAGTCAACCTTGAGTTGGTCAGGATCGAACTTCTGGCTGTGGGCAGAATTAGCCTGTAATACTGCATTCTAACCACTGTACCACCAAGGCTCAGTGCTGAAGTAGATTCCTATCTTTTGACTATAAGGTGCTTCATTAAGCTCATGTTCAACTTTCCAAAGATTCCAATAAAAGTTGAGTTAATCTCTTAGTTTCTATTGCTTTTAAATAAAAATGTGTTCTATATGTTTGGGACATTTTTCTACTCTGAAGAAAGCTTCCGATATGTATCCTAAATAGAGGTTGCTCAGTAGATTATTTTCTCATTTAAACCTTCCATTATTTTTAGATTTATAAAAGGATGTTCTCCTTAAGTATTATATCTGTTTATAGTTTGAACATTTAAATTATTTTTATATATATTATATTATACCTACATTTAGAATTATATAATATATATATTTACAATAGATATATGTTATAAATATATGTTTGTATTGTATTGTATTGTATTGTATTGTATTGTATTGTATTGTATTGTATTGTATTGTATTGTATTATATTATATTATATTATATTATATTATATTTATTATATTATATTATATATTACATTATTATATTACATTACATTACATTATACTCTCCCTGTTTGACAGAGAATAGTCAAATTTCACAAGGTTGCTTAAAGGAAAAATGGCCAGCTTTACATTGCATTTTATGATACTAACTACCATAGCCTCTTGAAAGTTTGCAATAATAATATAAAAACAACATTCATAATAAAAATATTAAAAGTACAATTAAAATATTCTAAGCCATCATTAATTTAAATTAATGCCTGTGTCTTAAAATCCATATTTATGCACATGTGTCTTAAATGTACATTTAATAACAGGGATTCAATTCCCTGTTTAATCCCTCAATTGAATCATGGTCCAGAGATCCGGGTGGTTACAAAAAAGTCTCAGTCCTAAATTTGTACCAAACAAGCACAGCATCTGTGTAGATAACCTTCCCCCTCTAACCTCAATGAGTTTTGGCAGGGTAAGGGGGAAATTAGCTGAAGCCATTAAATGCAACCCTTCCTCCTAGGAGATGGAAACAGTCAAAGCCAGAAGCCCTCTGTCTTTCACACTGGAAGGCAGCATTTCTATTCCATAAGTCAGATGGAGTAACAACAAAAGAGAATGAAAACTCTGGAGGACAATAGCTTTGAAAGTAAGTTTGCTGACTGGGCCCCGTAACAGCTGTCCTTCATTGTGATATCCATAGGCTTCTCTTTTCTTCTCCTTATTTTGCTTTAAACCAACCCCAAAGAGTTCAGTTTGTACCAAGTTTGCATCATGGAACAGCATGCATGCCCTGAAGAAATTGCCACTCAAGTGTTATTTTTCCAAATGAGTGCTCTCGGAATAAATAGCAGCTAAGGACAGAGAGTCAGGTTGGTGTAGTGGTTAAAGCATCAGGTAAAAACCATGAGACTATGAGTTCTGATCCCATTTTAGGCATGAAGCCAGCCAGGTGACCTTGAGCTAGTCACTTTCTCTCACCTTAGGAAGGAGACAAGGACAAACCACTTCTGAAATCTTGCCAAGAAAATTGCAAGGACTTGTCCAGACAGTCACCAGGAGTCAATATTGCCTTGATGGCATTCCTTCCCCCCCCCAAAAAAAAGATGTTGTTTTTAGTGGCAAAACAGTCCAGAGAAAAAGTAGCTATGCCCTCAGTCTAGATCACCACTATCTCACCATTTCCTGTATCTGTTTTATTGAGGAAAAAAAGGGTTTGGGTTTTGTTTGTTTTTTAAAGTATTGAAATGGAATTTAACACTTTTTGTTTGTTCTCAAGGAGACAATTTAGAAAATATTATGAAATGGAAACTTCAATCTAAATTGTTAAATATTTTGTAAATGGTCCACTGAAGAAAATATCAGGTGAGTAAATTCTGATTAATATATTCTCCAACTTCAGTTATCTTTATTTTAGAACCTTAAGATTAATGATAAGTATTGTGAAGAAGTAACACTTTTATTTTTAAACAGACAATACATGTATTACTAGTTTTCCACTAGTTTGCCTTGCTACATTGGACTATAAAGGGTGAACTAGAGTTGGTGTGTATAAGCTTTAAAAAGTCTTGCTGTTGGGATATTAATCATTTAGAGTCTTTCTTCTGACCATTTCAAAATATTGCCTGCCCATTCTAGAGAGGGCACAAAGGAATCTTACCATAAAAATAGTTGTCCCCTTAGCTAACCCCATTCTGCCTCTTTAGTATCTGCTTGAAGTCACTGCTGCATGTTCTAATTTGTGACTATTCAATAAATGTCTTTCATTGGCTGTATTGATATTTCCTTGCAGTATGTCCCAAACCAGTGGAGAAGAGATCCACCAAACAGGGCCAGCAACAGGAATGACATGTATGTGTGTGCATGATTTCAGAACTGTGCCTTCTCTAGGCTAGCTTGCCTCTCCTCTCACATTTCTTTGGGCATCTCCAGAATACAATAATGTGAAAAAGTGAAAGACACAAAAGCAGAAATAAAGCTCAAAAAGGAGGGCTGACCTTACTATAACAACATATAGACAGATACTCTAGAGCACAATGAGTGAAATTGACTAGGTCCTAGAGAACTGTCTCTCTTATTTCAAGGAGGTGGAGATACAGATAGCAGATTAAACACACATATGTCTCTTCTTCCTCAGATTAAATAATAGTTTCTTCTCCTCAACTTTGCTGTGAGCAGGAAAAGTGATGATTATGAAATAAATTCATATTTTTAGTTCCTGTGTTCTGAGTGATTTCAGAGCTGCACAAGTGGTGTTCAGGGCCCTTGTAGTCAGGTTGTTCACCTCTGAGACAGAACCTAAGAATTGAGTCAGTTTGTCCTATTTAGAATGTTGGCTAGAAGTTGCAGCCTCAAATTAAGTTGAGTTTAAAAGACAGATTAGCCCAATTTAAACTCTTGTCACCTGAACTTAATTCTTCTGCCAAAAGATGATAGTCATGACTCTTGATTTTGCTCTAAGCCAGATATGTCCAATCTTGGCAAATTTAAGACTTGTGGACCTCAACTCCCAGAATTCCCATGACTGGCTGGGGAATTCTAGAAGTTGAGGTCCACAAGTCTTAGAGTTGCCAAAGTTAAGTACCCCAGCCCTAAGCATTATTTTCTCTGTAATAGCTAAGACATATCAATATCACATATGCCCAGAATAATTTCCAAGAAATATCATAATTTAACTTTCAATAAAATAAATAAGAATATATAAATGGGAAAAAAGTATACGCACTTGTTTTACCTGTATGAGTCCTGGTGTGAGTCTTCAGATGATCAGATCTGGAGAACTTTCTCTGACAGGTTTTACACTGGAAAGGTTTCACACCTAAATACATAAAATAAATCTATTCTTGTATTCTAGTACCTTTACAGGGGTATAAGAGTATCCGTTATTCTGAATTTCAGAAACATGGACTTTTACTTTTATTTAACAATTGCCATTTTCCCCTCTAAGTACAAACCTTCACATCTCTAGTCTCATTAATCAAGCAACTCAACTATCTGACCTTTTTCCGTCTCCTGGTCCTTTTTAACTCCATTTAGTGCTTTTACCATGCCTTTGTTTCTGGCAAAAAAGGAAGCATTAATTCACTTTGGAGTGAAAACTTGAAAAATTAGAAATAAGAAACATCATGCGATTATGGTTGTTATTTCTACAAGCAATACTGTCCTTTAATAATGTGTGCTTTTTTCCATTTCAGTTCAGTACATCATTCTTCACATATCCAAATACTTTTTAAAAACGTTGTTCATGATGTGATTTTTTTTTTTTAAAAAAAAAGAAATCTGAGTTTATTTTCTGTACTTAGAAGATTCTTTAAAAAATTAACTGTGCACACAATATCAATCACGATATTCCACTTACCTCTTTTCTGAGCTTACTTACGATTGTCCATAAAGGAGCTGCAAATCTCTGTTAGTATGCTATTTTATTTAGTTATTTGAATTAAGATATTTTAAAATATGAGCAGCCATATAAATACTATGAAATTAATAAATAAATCATACAGTATTCCTAATCTGTAGATATCTATACAAGCATGTCATTGCATAGAATTATTTTCTCATTATTTCTTAAGATACCAGCTTTTTTAAAAAATAAATAAATAAAGGACTAAGGCTGAAGTCTTATATTTACTTACCTAAACCTTATTGAACTTAATGAATTTTATTTCTGTTTGGACAATTAGATGTTTATCCAATGCTGTGATTTTTATTGAAAATATATACAACTTTCAAAATATTTATTTGAAACATGCTCTCAGTCCTGTAAGGTAAACCAGACCAAGAAACTGATAACACTTATCCTATTTTTATTAGAGTGACTATAGTGTTAGAATCATGTTAATTCTAAATATGCTTTCTCTCCTTTCTTTTTTCTTCCTGAGAATTAGAGAAATGATGGTCCTTAATTCATAAATTCTTCTTTGCATGGGCTTAAGCTACATTTATCTGTTTGTTGCTTTGATAATGGATCTTCCCTCTCTCCCTTAAGGTCACTCTCTATACCCTCTACACATGCACAAGAGTTTTTTTTTTATTACACTACAGTGCAAAGTAAGCTGTGGTGGGACTGCAAGGGAACTGATGGAACATTTGTATTTCTCCTGTAAGATGGTGGCACCAGAATAGGACTTTTTGGAAGATCTCAGTGAAGGTTGACGGCTTCTCTGCAGATTCCAAACTTATAGGAAATCAGAGGGATTATGATGTATGGTGTAGAGCAGGGATCTCCAACCTTGGCAACTTTAGGACGTGTGGACTTCAACTCCCAGAATTCCTCAGTCAACATAGCTAGCTGAGGAGTTTTGGGAGTTGACGTCCACACGTAGTAAAGTTGCCAAGGTTGGAGACCACTTGTGTAGAGTGATAGGACTGCGGATGTGCTCAGCACTATTTTCTTTTGGAAAGAGAAATTTATTGAAATTGAGATACAAATGTGCTTGCATGCTTTAGGAACTCTGGGAGCCTTCTTACCCCTAGTGCTTTGACTTGAATGAGCCTTCTTACCCCTAGTGCTTTGACTTGACATGCCGGCAATGGGGAGAAAGTCGTGATACGTAATGTGACATTGCCGAGTTTGACATCCCTGCACTAAAGAATTCTTTTAAGGAATAATATCAGAAATGAAGATTGGCTGGCTTTTATTATGCTTTTGCTTTCACTCTGTTGTTGCTTTTGCTGCCACCTCAGGAAGCCCAGCGATGCAATGCAAAACTGCAATGCCACCTCAGGGAGCCCCAGCTGCCCCAACCCCAGCCACTTTCACTGCCCTGCACTCACACTGAGACCCCTCTTATCCTGAATTCTGCCATCAGAGCTGACGTCTTATTTATTTATTTATTTATTTATTATTTAAATTTATATACCGCCCTATCTCCCTTACGGGACTCAGGGCGGTGAACAGGCAATAATAAAAAACAATAAATATTGAATAAAAAGCCTGCTCTAAAATACCCCATATAAAACCCCTAACAAAGCCCAATCAAAACTACGCCAGGCCAGCCGCATGGAATAGATGGGTTTTCAAGGCTCGGCGGAAGAGGCGCAGGTCCGTAGTTGTACGTAGGTCGGGGTAGGTCATTCCAGAGGGCAGGAGCTGCTGCAGAGAAGGCTCTCCCCCCTGGGGGTTGCCAGCCGGCATTGACTGGCCGATGGCACCCTAAGGAGGCCCTCTCTGTGGGAGCGGACTGGTCGAAGGGAGACATTTGGTAGGAGGCAGTCTTGCAAATACCTAGGTCCATTGCCATGGAGCGCTTGCTCCACTAATGATGAGTTATGCCAGGGCCGGTCCTTCATGAGGCAACTGAGGCCATCTTCCTCAGACCTGAAGAGGCAACCACTGTGTGAGGCCTGGTGAAGAAAGCTTCAGATGACCAGTGGTCACCTTGCAAAGGACCAGGCTGGGTATGCTTTGGTCAGTAGCAGCTGCAGCTGCAGCAAGAAGACTACAAAGGACAGCTAGGGTGGCAGGGGCCATTGAGAGCAGAGGGCCAAAAGGGCAAAGATAAGGAAAAGATAAGTGGCGGGGGAAAAGTTGCGTGTAGATTGCCAAACATCCAAATTTTGATCACATGACCATGGGACATTGTAACAATTGTAATATCCGGGACTGGTTGTAAGTCCCTTCGTTCGGCACTGCCATAACTTTGAATGGCTGCTAAAGCAATAGTCGTAAGTCAAGGATCATCTGTATCATTTATAAAAATGTATTAAATCTCTTAAGGTTTGTTAAGTAGCTGTTATTTCAACTATCAAGGACTATACCTCCCCATTATCAAGTATAGGGAAAAAATTACTTCCCAGTGTCTCAGGCCAAAGGGTTAGTTTCTGGGATCACCTATGCTCAGCAGATATGGTTAGAAATAATCAAATTATACAATATCTAACTACATCTAAGGCACAAATGCTCTTCCCAAAAATACAATCTAACTGATCTGTACTAACATTACTATTTTTTCAAGGGGCATATAAATAATCCCAACCTACGGTAAGTTCAATATTGCTTCTTTGTAGTATAAATCTGAACTTATACAAACACATAAAAGGTCATAGTCCCAGCCTTTAGTGCTCTTAAAAGCAAAAAAATTACAACTTCATTTCACATACTCCTGATAAGAGAAACTGCAAATTGCAACACATGTCAAAAGCTCAGATATGCAACAAACCTGTATGTCGCCTTTGATGCCTTTTGAGTTGATCTGAACGAGAGAATCTTCGTTCACAGTCCTTAAAGTCACACTGATACGGCTTTTCTCCTTAGAAAAAACATGTTTATTTGAAGGAAGTAAATAACGCTGTCGACATTAAATAAAACTCCAGTCAACATAACTAGAACAAAGCTCGCATACTGTATAATACAAAGATAATGCAAATGATTATCTTTAGAAAAAAAGATAACATAAATGTTTAATTTTTTTTTAAAAAAATTCAATCTCCACTTTCTAACTTAAAAATAAATGGTTGGAATTGTGTAACAATTTATTGTGCCAAGGCCTGGGTCTGTAAATGTGCAAAGAGAAGATGGTGTTAGTAACTGTGGAGAGGGTTATTTGGCTGCTATTTATTGTAATTTTATGCAGTTGTGATATCTTACAACTTCTTACATAACAGCTTTCCAATTGTATTTATCTTTCTCACAAGGCAGGTAGGGGGGAACTTGCAAGGAATTCCATCTGGCATGCCTTTTCTGCTGTAGCCCCTGCCCTCTAGAGCCTCATTACACAGATGGTGTTATTAGCTCCATCTCTGTTAGCTTTCCAGAAGACGATTAAAACATTTTTTTCCAGACCTGAGGATCCCAGAAGCAGCCTACAAGGTGGCTGTATGAGACCACGTAGAAAATTGAGCTTAGCTTAGCTGATCCAAAAATCTGAAGTAGCAACAGAAAGTTTTTACCAAATGTATTTTTCACACTCAAGCTATAATTCTGGAAGTGCTAGCAGACTCTGAAAATTTAGCATCCCTACCACGTTCTCCCACATTCTTGGTTTTTACAGGTTTATTTTATGTGTCCTTTTTATATGTTTTATGTTTTTTTTAAATTTAGTTTTTACTGATTTTCGATTGCTATGGAGCTTTTAACTGTTATATTGTATGCTGCTCCGACTCACATTTTTGTGAGATGGTGGGCTATAGAAATATGCTAAATAAATGAATGAATTATTTTAAATTTTTTAACTTCTTATTGTTCACTACCCAAAGTCATTGGATAAGATGAGTGACTAAAAAATAAATAAAATATTTGTAAGAGACAATAGCTTAGGCAGGCAGCACTTAAAATCTGTGAATTTGCAACTAAATAATTCCAGCACTAGAATACTTATATATAGCAATGAATGCTTGTGACAAAGAATCAGTCCTAAAAAAATAAGGAAATGTTCAGCAAGTGAGTTGAACATTGTTTACAAAAAGAAATCATGAGAATCTTGTTTCATTGCTTTGTGGTTATAATAAAGAAACACCTTTTTTATAGACACTTATTAGTTAAGCCAAAGGTCTGCATTTTTATGTAAATTTTTGAGGAAACAACAGATTGTTCACTCCTATTTATGACTTCTTCTGAGGATATACATTCTAAACACTAATTGAGTAAAGTCACACAATAAGTGCCCAGCTAAGTTATGAAAGTTATGAGGCGTCTCCAGCCTGATCACCTGATCTTTTCATCCTTAGCAAGTATCAACACATGGAAAATTGAGCTTCACAGTGAATTCCTCCATTAGCTTATCTGATCCAAATCTGAAGCAGCAATAAGTCCCAGCGACAAATAAGTTTTTATAAAATGTGTTTTTTTGCATTCAGGTTCTAATTCTGGAAGTGCTAGCAACATCTGAAAATTTGACATCCCTAGCAAATTATCTCAATATAGAACCCAAGCAGGGTGATGAGCATTAGGTTTATGGTTTAGCATGTTCTCAAGAGTTACATGCAGTGGTGGGATTCAAGTACGTGAACAACTGGTTCTCTGTGTGGATGCCGCTTCTGGAAGTCCATTCTGGGCCTGGGCAACAAAAAATTAGCTACCGGTTCTGCCGAAGTGGTGCGAACTGGCTGAATCCCACCACTGGTTACATGTTTTGGTATTTTTGCTCATCAGTAGTTAGTAGTCTGTGGTCTCAGCAGATGTGAACCTAGTCAACCAGCCAACCTTGGCTAATCTTAAAAGCTAAGCAGGGTCAGCCTTAGTTAGACTTAGATGAGGAAACTGCCTGTGAATTCCAGGACTGCTGGATAGACTGGACAATTGAGAACACCCTGGAAGAAAGCAATGGCAATCACTTTCCATAATACTGCCAAGAAAACTATATTAATGTAGTTAGGGTTAACTTAGGCATTTATACTTTTAACCTATTTCCCCATCTTGGATAACCAGAAACAATTGCATTATAATCCCATCATTTTTGTTGTGGGTTGTACTGAGAGACAATCCATTGTATGAACCAAGTTTTAATTAAAATTGTAGTTACAATATATCTGGAGAAAACCGAGTGGGAGAATCTGACCTCTTAGCAACAAATCAGCTCTGTAGTAAAGTCAACAAAGAAATTCCAATCGTAATGAGTTGAATGGGTTCAAATTTTAGTTTTGTATAAAGGAAATCAGAGAGTTAGATACATTTTTCTATTTCCTTGAAAAGTTGTTATGACTTTTAAAAAAACCCTTCCATTAATATAAATCTTGTTAGTTAATGAAATCTTTATTTTCACCATAGATAAACTGTTACAAAAATTTTATCTTCAAAGTGATGAGTTACTGTATTCAGTTTATTTACAACTGAGTTTTGCTGGGAAGAAAAAGTTCATTGCAACTAAGTATCACTTTATGTGTTTAAAAAAATCATCCAGTCATATATCATTTGCAAACTAATAAATCATTGTTGCTACTTCGGTGTTAATGATGGGTGAAAGTGGGTACAATATTATTGATAAAGATTTTTTAAAATACATTATTTTGGCTGTTCCAAGAAAAGAGTATCTTTTTATATCTGGGTCAACAGTATTAATACTTTGGAGGGCACTTAGTAAACAACCATAATTGTGATGTCAGCAAAATTTGTGCTGAAGCAGTGATAAGCACTGATACAAATTCCAGCTTCGTGCATCAGAGTTCCATAGATAGTAACACTATGTAAAATAACAATTTGCAGGAAATGCAATGAATCAGTTGTTTTATAAGGGGAAATCTTATGACCCACTCCATTTTCTTCTTTTTAAAAAACAAAACAAAACATTAATTGCTATTCGGCTGTTCCATTTCTCCACCTTATAAAATTTGAAGCTACATATTTAAGAATCATACACTATGAGAATATTATAATTATAGCTAATATAATCCACTCATTTAGAATAATGCACTAATTTCAAGTTTTATATATACATGTAGTTCTTTCCTGATTTTATGGCCATATCTTTCTGTAACATTCAAATGTGAAATTACCAGTAGTCCTCAAATTGCAACCACAATTGAACTTCAAATTTCCAATACTAAGCAAAATGGTTGTTAAGTGAGTTTTGCCCCATATTACAACCTTTCTTCCCACAGTTGTTAAACTGAATCACTGCAGTTGTTAAGTTACCATAGTAACCTGGTCGTTAAGTGAATCCAGCTTCCCCATTGACTTCGCATGTCGTAAGGTCGCAAAGGGTAATCACATGACTGGGAACACTGCAACTGTCATAAAGACATGCCAGTTGCCAAGCATTCAAATTTCGATCAAGTGACCATGGGTGTGTGTGTGTGTGTGTGTGTGTGTGTGTGTGTGCGTGGGCTGCAACGGTCATCACTTTTCAATGCCATTGTAACTTTGCACAGTCACTAAACAAAGGGTTGTAAGTCGAGGACTACCTATATACAATTATCCCTCTGAGTCTTTTTGTGAAAGGAGATGCATGCACCACATTTTCATTAGTACACGACACCACTGAAGTGACAGGTTGGCAATTCTACTGCCAGAAGCTCTCAGAATGCTTAGTCCTAGAAAGGCCACGAAAAGCTTCCGTTACCATAGGAAGAGCTATGAGACACTGGATGTGGCAACTATTTCAGGGGAACTATGCACTCCATGAAGATACTTACCAGTGTGTTTTCTACCGTGCATCTGCAAATGGGACAGTTTAAAATATCGCTTGTTACAGCCAGGATACACGCACATAAAAGGTCGCTTTTCATTTGTGTCACTTGCTGATCTAACAATTGTTGGAGCCACTCCAGACATTCGCCGCACATCCTATGATAGCATAAAGAAGAGGGTTTTACATACAATATATTCTGGGCTCATTAGAGAACTGTAGAAACTATAGGGCAGGGGTGTCCAACGTCAGCAACTTTAAGACTTGTGGACTTCAACTCCCAGACTTCCCTAGCCAGGATGGCTAGCTGGGAAAATTGCCAAGGTTGGAGACACACACACACACACACACACACACAGAGAGAGAGAGAGAGAGAGAGCTATAGTGCAACAAGACTTCTTACAGTCATTCAAGTTTCCCCAAAATATAGGTAATAGCAAATCGTGACATTGTTATTTGTTCCATGTCACAAAGGAAATTATAATACAGTTTTCCATAATCCCAAAGGCCGTTGTAGCATTTCACAAGAGAAAATGCTTGGTCCTTAATTTTTACCTCACATTAATTTTCTGCTTGTAGGAAGGCCCTCGGGTATTGGACTACATCAACACCCATAAATCCCAGCCGTGATTTTTATCCAATGTTGCTTAGAAATCATGGGAATTGTAACTCGATATATATGGAAGATTTCTCAGCAAAAGGGGCAAATTAGAATTTGTCAGAAATAGATAACTTAAACATTTTCCATTTAGTTAGTATATAGTGAACACTATATTCTAATAAAAAGAAAATATAGTGTTTCCTTGCTATTATCAAAGCAGCCAGGTAATCAATCCAAAATTATATACTTTGCTTAATATACTCACTTGAATTCCTCTAAAAACTCCATGGGTATGTAT